TAATGACATGGGATCGGAGCTGTGACATGATTTGCGGATTGGCACGGCCCACAGTTCCTTGTTTTTGCGAGTTTCGAAGTTTAAGAAATAATGTGTTTTTTTAATGCTCTTATCTGGCAATTGTCAGCTTCTGTCTAAAATGCCATTTTTTTCCCTCAAATAATCCTTTATTCTATGCTACTCATACTTTCTCTACCAATTCGTGAAATTCGAATTGAAAGAGAAAAAGGGTTAGGGCGCCCCCTTGCGTCAATGAGGTTCTGAAATCTATGGCCAAGTTCGGGCAAGGACCATTAGTCGACTAGTGGTTGATTTGTGACGTACCTTACGCCTGCGCACTAATAGCAACGTGTGAACGTCTCTAGTCAAACGCTGGTCAAAAGTCATCGCAAAACTTCTGGATCCTGGCTCTCTGCTAGCGTTATGAATGCGCGCGGCTATTGGTTACCAGCTAAGCAACCAACCCAGTAGGGCTGGTTCCAAATAGTCGACTAGCGTAGTCAACCACCGTCGACTAGACAGAGTTCGGGCAAACGTTAGTTAACCATTGGTCAACTATAATCCTTGCGCGAACTTGGCCAAAACTTTTGCAACTCATTCTCTGTCCATCTACTGCCATTTCGTGAAATTTGAATAGAAGGAAAAAGGGAGTAACGGCGCCCTCTTGCGTCAAATAACACCATGGCACATTACATCTGCAAGGTTGGTGGAATGTTGGGGCTGTGGATAGGGAAAGGGGGGGGGGAGTGGCGGTCGGTGGCCGATGGCCCCCTCCCCCACCTTTGAAAGAATATGTATACATGGGCGTCGCAAGGATTTTTTCTAGAGGGGGGCAAAATAATTTTTTGCCAAAAAATGCTTGTATTTCTCAACACATTCTCGATTTATCAGTTTTAGAGGGGGCAGGGACATTCCCCCCCCCCCCCCAACTCATTAAATTTACACCACTTTGTCTTCGCGCCTCTTTTTTTTTTTTTTTTTTTTTTTTTTTGCTTTTCCAGGGGGGGGGGGCGCAAGTGCCCCCCTTGCCCCCCCCCCCCCCTCGCGACGCCCATGTATGTATATCATACGTTTCGACCTTTTTGGCACCAGTGGTGGTTCCCCCCCCCTTCCCCCCTCCCCCCAGCTTTCAAAACCGTCTACCGCCGCAGTGCATCCTCCAAAGTCAATAGGCACTTCAACAATGCCAATCCTCCATAATCCTGAAACAGTACCTGATTTATTTGGAAGATTGAGTGGGGTTCCAGGGTTCTCCCCAGGATTTTTTCAAACCTGTGGGGGAAGTTTTGTTGTGATTCACCAACCTGCGAAGCCACGGCGTGGGGTTCGGGGCCCGCTTAAGGGCCCCGAAAAATTTTGAACTTTAGAGGCTCTCTGGTGCATTTTAGAGCAAATCTGGGGAGTCTTTAAGGAAGATTTTTCCTTAAAATTTAGAGGAGATCTTGTGATATTTTTTGTAATTAGAGAAAAAAAATATCAACGTTTTTAACTTAAAAAAAAAAATCAACATTTCAAAACCTGTGTTAAACCTTCTTGATCTAGAAAGTATGGATTATATTTACAAGCAAGTTTCAAATTAAGAAATTAAGGTGAAGAAAAAAATCACTTTTGCTTCCGACTACATGGCTTTCAAAATAGCGTCGGTAGGTCGGAAAAATTATTTCGCCATTTTTTTGGGCTGCTGATTGAATCATGGAGGAATAAAAACACATGATTGAATGGAGCATATTGAACAAGGAATCATGTAGTTTTGTGCCTGGATTATTTTCCTTTGCACCACGAAAATTATCAAGACTGACCATCAGAAGTGATTAAAACTTGCCTCACCTAATTAAAAATATATTTGAGGAGGTTGATTCCACTATGCTTAACGTACATCGATCACGGCCCCTGGCACTGCCAACATTCAGTCTGGCCGGCCGTACATCGCGCAGTATCAGTGTGCATTACTGCACTGTGTACGGCCCTACTGCTTCTAAGAAGCACGCTACGATGTTTCGCCACAAGTTCGAGCTTTGCAATCTCGTCATTTTAATGGAACATACATACACAGAAAATAAAGATCACGTTCTGTGAATTAATTTGCAGAAATTCTCTTTCTCCATCGATGTTTGTTTGGTGTTTTTACGATCCAACTTCGGCCGACATCATCATCATGTATGCACGCACGAGGCAGTAGTCACTGGTTCCGGTCCTTCATCATAGCATTGATACTGTTAGCACGCGAAGGGAACCAGTGTACCGTGCTGTATGCGCTAATATATAGCTGGCGGTTGACGCGAAAGACCCGTCATCGTGTGCATTTTGATCACGCATGCATCAGAAATGCGGGATTTTTGTCAAGATTTTGCATGTCAAGATGAAATAATGATGTATGAAACAATTATGTTGTGCATTTTAATGGCTTGTATAATAATTATATTGTGCGTATCGGGGGCTGAAAAATGTGATCGGCATTTTTGTCGGCGTATCGGGCCGCAATTCCAGCGTATCGGGCCGATACGCACGTTTGTACGTGGGGAGAACCCTGGGTTCGAGTAAATGGTCTATGAAACACTTTTTTTTTTGGATTTTTCACATGTAAGTTTATTTATTTACAAAAAAAAATTAATTCTAATAGTAAACACACAATGTACAGGAAAAACTTAAAACCGCACTATTGTAGAAAATACCTACATGTACAACTCGGTTAAAACAATGATTTTACAATACGGTTATTGTACCAAAAACATAGTGATGTTGTGAATTTTGACATATTCTGCTCTGTATAATGTCGATTTCCATTTTTGAATACATTCTTAGCTCAAGTCATAACCCTAGTTCAAGTTAAGTTTTAGCAATAGGACCGTGCCAGGATCGATTTGGTTATAAACCCTGGTTCTAACTTGTAATAAAATGTTTTACTATTTTTGTTATTCCTAACATTTCCAAAACGCAATCCAGCTGTACATCCATTTGAAGAAAGTGCATACATTTGAAAAGTGTGTAAAATGTGCACGGTTATAGAACTTCATAATTCACTTTATTGTTATCTTATACAATTGTGGTTAAAGGGCATGTACAACATTTGCTTTTGCTTCAATTTTCAGAAATAAATGGATTTGGAGGATTAGGACGTTATAGCAAATATTGTTATATGACTTGTTTCACGTTTTTGGGCTTGTAGATGCTGGAAATACCAAGGAAACCATTCATGTTTTTGTAGTCTGGTTCCCTGACACCATTTAAGATGAAACAGAGAATTTATAGACTTTGGGGAATTGTAAGGTCTGAGAATCAGTCTACTAGCAGGCTTGCACCCCTTCACGGGTGTGTTATCAATTGCAAAGAGTTTTTGCAGCAAAGAGCTTGCATGCAGTTTTTGAAAAAAAGCCATTTTTCTCCAACGCTGGTCGGCCAACCAGCGTTGGAAAAATACAATTTTCTTGAAAATGTCAGCACACCAAGACCACGATTTTGCAGGATGCTTTAGACTGTCATTCCCTAACAATCCAGTAAGGTATTTTGTGACAATCTCATCATTTCGTTTTGTGATGTTTGCAAATGTTGTATCTTCCCTTTAACTATAAATAACAGCCTTCGAAATAGACTTTGGGCAGCCAGGATAAAGCAGGATTCTAAAAAGAAACAAAATGGTGAGTATCGCGTTTTGGAAGTAAACTCTTCCATACCAGGAGCCACGATTTCTGGTCCAAATAGACCGTTGGAATTTCGCAGCCACCTTGCAGGTGATTTTTGTTACTTTAATTCTGTAACAATGAATGCACAGCAGCACAATGGACTCGGTGCACCAACGAAAGAGGGCGCCCTTTTACCCAGCAACAACGCGTCCCATGGGCTGGACATTTAGCTGGTTGACGCGCACCTGTCCTTGTGTGTGAAGCATGTACACCAGGGAATTTGTACTATGTACGCGCAGTGCAGTGGTACGGCCGCACGTCGCGGCAAAATTGCAGTCGGGCAAGATGGCGTCGGTCGGTCACCCCCAACTGTACTTTCTTTGCCAGTGAGGGGGTACTTGTGAACGGAGCGGATAGGTCTACCCATGCCCGTCCCTGTGACACAAAAGCATGCACCTCAAAAAAAGCTACGATGCAAAGGATCTACTTTATGTATTTGGGGACCACCAGCTTGAGTAATTTTAAAAGGGGGTGTGGTGTCTTGTAGGGGGGGGGGGGAGGGGAGGCCTTTTGACTCTTGGGCGCTGTTCAAAAATGTACATACATGTACATGAAATATACACATATTTACACCCTTTACCTGCAGTATGCATATTGACATTTAGTTGGTTGTGGATAAGAAATACTTATAAAGTTATCACAAGTTGTGAACAGAATCGTGAAAGTTTAGTTAAACTTGTTTACAAAAAATCTTTATACACTGAGATAATGCTTTATATTAAAGGGAGGGGCATTGGCACTAGGCAACCCCAAAGGAAGAAAATATATTGGGAGTGGGGGGTGGCAGAGCTGCAGTCTGGTACATTACAAATCAAATTACAAGTATACAGTCATAAGCAACAAGAGGAACAGTTATAAAGGGATGCCTTTGTCACAATTCTCTTGACTAAGTTGTGACATGACTTTAAGCCCTTTTCACACTAGAGCCTTTCAACCCGGGTTGAACTCAACCCTTGGTGAACCCAGTGCCGCCCCGGGTTGAGTGTTTGATTTTTCAACCCCGCGTTCTACCCTGCATCGTTTTACACTTGTTTCATGCAAATCAAGCTTATCATGCTCAGTAACTACAGTTTTGAACCCTGGCAAGAATTTCAACCCGGGTTGAAAATCTCAACCCTGGTCTAGAGCAGGGTTGAGTTCAACCCGGGGCGAAATTAATCTCAGGGTTGACGCAGGGTTGAAATTCTTCAAGTGTGAAACGATGCATGTTTTCAACCCTGCGTCAGCCCCAAGATTTGTATAGTGTGAAAAGGGCTTAATTTTTATTAGAGTGAATGACCTGCAGTAGATTTGCTATTGACTTGTGATAAACAAAACAAAGATTGATTTGTGATTGACTTGTGTTTGACTTATTATCAACTAGCGATTGCCTTCTCTTGGATATGTGATGGACCTGAGATGGACTTTTCAAAGTCATTGACTTGTGATTGGCTTGTGATTGACTTCTGATTGATGTGTGATTGAATCATAATCAAATGGTGATTGACTTGTCATTATTTGTGATGGACATGTGACTGAGCTGTGATGGGCTAGCAACTGATTTCTGACTGACTTGCGCTTGACTTGTGACCAACTTATGATTGATAAGTAATTAACTCGTGATTAACTTGCAATTGACTTATGGCGGACTCTTGATTGAATTGTGAAATTGTGATTGACATGTGATTGACATGTACTTGACATGTGATTGACATGTGATTGACAATGTGATTGACATGTACTTGACATGTAATTGACTTGTGATGGACTAGCGATCGCCTTGTGATTGACTTGTGAAACACCGGCAATACACTTGTGATTGAAAAATAATTGACTTGTGAGGCTTTGAATACAATTCTTGATTTAGGTAATAAACATCTCTAAAATAAGGAGATCAAAATCCGATCAAAATGCAAACTGGCCGGCGGGTTCGTTCATGTCTTTCTGCAGGTTGTTTTTATCCTTCAGTCTGGCTTGTAGCAAGGAGTGCTCCACCACGCCTATTCTGACATCCATTTGGGTGACCTCGGTCTTCAGCCGCTGCAGCGCTTGCTTGATTTTAACAAGCGGGGCTGTTGAAAAAAAAAAAGCACGATAGAAACACACTATTCATAAGATGGAATATTTGAATAAATAGTTAATGCGGTACCCACAGCTATGTAAATCAGATTCGAACCAGCCAACCGATCCCGTTAGCTCGATGGTCGAGTGGTAAGACATCTGCACTAGAAAGCAGGAGGTCGTGGGTTCGAGTCCCACCCGAGTGATTTTTTCCAACTTTCACTCGGGAGGTAATACACTGAGTATACAGTGTCTATACGTCGGTGAAGGGCAAAGCCTAATTTGAGAAACACACTAAAATTAAATAATTCAACATATACAATGCGTCTTTCACTTTGTTGTTTATTTTTTGCATGCGTTCATAATTGCACCCAAATAAATGTATCATGTGTTTCATCAGGGAATTTGGAAGACTGGGTACATCTTTAATGATAAAAAAGGTCTGACTTTTCAGATGCTGTCCAAGTTCAATTTGTGAACCGGTTAATTTGACTCGGCAAAACTACCAAAAAACTGTTGGGAACCGGTCACAATCTTCATAACATGATGTTCAGGTCAGTAACTTGTTGTCGCTCAACATAACAATTGTGATCGGCGCCACAAAAAAGGGTATTAAGTTGCACTGTGCATGAGAGGGTGAACATTTTGTCAAAATGCGAGTTTAATTTTTTGTCATGAATGACATCTTTAATACCTACAGTTTCAGGGTTCATTCACAGAAATGTTGATTTTGATTAACAACGTGGAATCCGCCCCACCTCAACTTTTTTCGTGATAGCCTTGAATTTTTTTTGTTTTCCGCGACCTGAGCTGTTATGACTTTTTAGCCTCGAACCTTGCGCATCTTTTGATACCAAAAACATAAAAATTGGACCTTTTGATATCAATCACATAAATATCGGAATTTTTTGGTGTTACGCGCCGTGAAAACTGAATTTTCCCATATACGTCGGGTACACAGAGCAGAATTACCATTTATACATAGGAATAATTAATTAGCCATAATTCCACACCCTTTGACCTATAGTCATGAAATTTCTTGGGTATGTTCATGATGAGTTGCTCTATGCATGTACCGAGTTTCAAATGTTTTTGTCACTCGATGGCCGAGATTTTTTTTGGGGGGGGAATCCAAAACCATCAATTTCTACCTTTTACTCTTGACTACACACAGACGCCTCCATATGATTGTACACAAAAAAATTGCCCCCCCCCAAAAAAAAATCCCTACCTACCTACCCAATTTTTCGATTGTCATGTAATCGGCAGCAGAACATTATTTTTTTTTTGCCTTATAAACAGTGATGCGCACAAACCCAATACACACCTGTGTTCCAAATAAATGCATCAAAAACAGCAATTTAAGACTGAAAGCGCCCTTCAAAATCTATCTCATTTTCCCCGTTGAGGGGGGTACTTTCACATGTAATCCACGGTGTGTTGTACTTACATCCGTCTGTCATGCTGGAGCCTCTCTCCTCCATCTCCTGCTTGACTTTCTCCAGATCCTCGGTGATTTCCGCCAGCGAGCGGGTCCGCTCCGTCACGCCTCCGCTGGCCTGACGATACTGCTCCTTCATCTGGTGAAGGAAAAACAACAATGGTTGACAGTCAACTACAAAACATGGTTGATGATTCCACTAAATAAAAACAGTCGACAGCCAGCGGGTCCGCTCCGTCACGCCCCCACTGGCCTGACGATACTGCTCCTTCATCTGGTGAAGGAAAAACAAGAATGGTTGACAGTCAACTACAAAACATTGCTGATTCCACTAAATAAAAACAGTTGACAGCGAGCGGGTCCGCTCAGTCACGCCCCCGCTGGCCTGACGATACTGCTCCTTCATCTGTTGAAGGAAAAACAAGAATGGTTGACAGTCAACTACAAAACATGGTTGAAGGTTCCACTAAATAAAAACAGTTGACAGCGAGCGGGTCCGCTCTGTCACACCCCCACTGGCCTGACGATACTGCTCCTTCATCTGGTTAAAAAAAACACAAGAATGGTCGACAGTCAACCACAAAACATGGTTCAAGATTCCACTGAATAAACTAAAATCAGTTGACAGTTAATGATAATATTGGTTTGAGAGGCAACTACAAAATTGATTGACACGTAAACTGAACTTCAACTTCAACACCAGTGGAGTGTCAACTAAAAAATCAGTTGATATGTGTATTTAACTTTCATTTCAGCACTTGTTGAGAATGAGAGTCAACTAAAAGTTAAAGTCATTAAGAAACGATGAACAAAGAAATTGACTGGACCTATGACCTCCAGAACACTGTATCGGCACTCTACCAACTGAGTTATCCAGCCCAATGTGAGCGTTTCCCCATTTTGTAAATGTCTTTGATCAAAGGGCACTTTTTCAGAAGCCATAAGGCCTTTATGCCAAGTAGCAAGGGGTCACACTCAAAGCCCATATGCAAGCAACATCAGCAATAATGCAACAGGTTGATGGCTTTTGACTAGTGCCCTTGACAATGACATTGACAAATTGTGACCTGCTCTGTCAAAAGCAGACGTTTCTGGGCAGAGATTGATGTTGAGATAGGGCCAAAAAACGCTGTGGGGTTTGTTTTTTTTTTGGAATTTCTAATTCTTGCATATTTGTAATCCTGCACATGTCTAAAATATACAATAAAAGTTTGAAACCCTAAATTGAACTCTAAATATAGTATTTTTGATGATTTGCTAAGGTATATCAGTTAAAGAAACTACTGTTTTGTGACGTTCGTGGCCAGTTTCTCTGTTTTCTACTTTTCGACACAATGAACTTCAAAATAGCATAACTCTGCCCAGGAATGACCGGTTTCAAAACTTAAACCACCTATTAAAAGGAAACAGAACTTTTTTTAACAATATGCACCAATCTCATTTTTGACCTTATGCCCAGAAAAGTCTGATTTTGACACAACAGGTCACAATTGGGAGACCCCGAACATAGGGCTGGAAAGCTAAGTTGGTAAAGCGCTCGTAGGTGTTCTGGGGCACGCAGGTCAAAACCCTTTCCAGTCAATTTCTTTGTTCAACTTTATAATTAAAAGAATCAACTACTCTGAACTAGCCCTATCCACTAAAAGTGCCCAATTCAACTAGATCAATCAAGGTAGGGTGTTCCAGGGAACGCAGGTAGAAAACCTGTTACAGTCAATTTCTTTGTTCAAGTTTGTAATTAAAAATATCAACTACCCTGAACTACACCTATCCACTAAAAATGCACGATTCAACTAGATCAATCAAGATAAGCTGTTCTGGGGAACGCAGGTTGAAAACCTGTTCCATTAATTTTTATGTTAAACTTTATAATTAAAAGAATCCACCCTGAACTACCCCTATCCACTAAAAGTGCACAATTCAACTAGATCAATGAAGCTGACCTCAGCGGAGTTGTCCTGCATGCCTCGGTATTCCTGCAGCATGTGCTCTAGTTGATTGTTGATGTACTTCTCACGGCTGGTGATCTTCTCCAGGGTGCGACTGATCTCCTTGTGAAGCTTGTCAAGATAACCCTAGGAGAACAAAATAGATTTACAAAAAAAATCAAATCAGAGATCCATTGATTCACGAATTGTGACGTCATACACCGTACTGATATTTCGCACACTAGGCGTATAAGATTAAGATTCGTACCAGTACGATCTTTTATTTTTGATTATAAATTGGTAGGTCAATTTTGGGATACAGTGGAACGCCGCTATAACGAACATCGCGGGATCCACAGAAAATGTTCGTAGCAGTGATCGTTCGGTATAGCGATTTTAAGCTATCGGTGCTCCGGTACTCACTTTTCAATAAATGGCGCCCTTCATAACTTCACCCTGTATGCCCTGGTAGTTACTGAAAGACAACTTCGAACACGTGCGGACTGCCGACTATTGAATTAGGTCATTACACAGTTTTGAGCTTACTACCTACATCGATGGGTGGCTTTCCCCTTCTATGCCTTGGGGAAATAATAGCCACTTGTCGCTCTTCTGTTGACGGTTTTCAACAACAATGTTGTTCGGTTGGTTTTGTACACAAAAATCGGGGGCCAAGGACGATGTTCGGTATAGCCGAATGTTCGGTATAGCGTTGTTCGGTATAGCGACGTTCCACTGTATGTGCAAATGATCCTATATGACCAACGTGACATTCACTGTTGATGACATTGGTGTCAAAACGTTTGCAAGACGTTCGAACCCTATAGTGGGGAGAGGGGGGAGGGAGATTACACACACCCCCACCCCCTAGGCCCTTCTAGGCTTCAGACAGCTCGCCTTAGTATCAGTCAATGCGGACTGTATGCCGTCCCGGTGCTGGTGCATCAGGTCCACGTGCGTCCTCCAATCTTTGTTGTCGGTGCGAATGTGGACCTTCAGCGACGGCACCACGCGCTCCACTTCCAGCTTCCACTCGTTGGCGTCGGTGGTGGACTCCATGATCTCCTCCATGCGAGTGCTCTCCGTTGTGTCCTGGATTTTAAGTAAAATTTTTGAGTGTGGATCACCAACCGAATATTCGAATCGCTTTCTGCCAGTTTGAATATTCAAACTGACCCACAAACTATGCACATACACACACGACTGCGATGTTATTTTATCGTTAAAGGGAAGATACAACATTTGCAAACATCAAAAAACAAAATTATCAAATTATCACGAAATATCTTACTGAATCGTTAGGGACTGACAGTCCAAATCATCCTTTAAAATCGTGGCTCCTGGTGTGCTGACATTTTCAAGAAGAACTGTATTTTTCCAACACTGGTCGGCCGACCAGCGTTGGAGAAAACTGGCTTTTTTTCAAAAACTGTTCCTAAGTTTTCATATTTAGTTATTCTGACTTTTCTTTGCAATTGATTACACACCTGTGAAGGGGTACAAGCCTGCTAGACTGATTCTCTGAGCCTACAATTCCGCAAGTGTATTAATTGCTCTGTTTCATTTTAAGTGGGGTCAGGGAACCAGACTACAAGAACATCATAGGCCAAGTTCGACTAGTGTTTGATTTGTGACGTACCTTACGCCTGCGCACTGATAGCAACGTGCGAACGTCTGTAGTCAAACACTGGTCAAAATGTCATCGCATAACATCTGGATCCTGGCTCTCTGCTAGCGTTATGAATGCGCGCGGCTATTGGTTACCAGCGAAGCAACCAGGCCTAGTAGGCTGGTTCCAAATAGTCGACTAGCGTAGTCAACCACCGTCGACTAGACAGAGTTCGGGCAAGCGTTAGTTAACCATTGGTCAACTATAGTCCTTGCGCGAACTTGGCCATAGGTTTTCTTGGTTTTTCCAGTGTCTACAAGCCCAAAACGTGAAACAAGTCAGTTTAACAATATTTTCTATAACATACTAATCCTCCAAATCCATTTATTGCTGAAAATTACAGCAAAAGCAAATGTTGTACATTCCCTTTAAGTTGCGGCACTTTATTGTCAGGTGCCACTTTTTTGTTGGCGGTAACTTTTTTGTCGACAGTGGTTCATTGTTCACATCCGTTTAGCGGATTAAAGCCCTTTAACAGTTATGAAATACTTACTGCAAAGCACTCCAGTCCCCCATATCCATCGCCGCACGCAAATTCTAACCAGCACACTCTTCGTGCTGTTTCGAAAATCCGGATATTTGGTCCAACACAGTTTTGAGTAATTAAATGCAAAATTATTCGGAAATAGACAGCCCAAGAAATCATTTACCTTCGTTTTCAAATTTCTCAGTCCTTCCAGATCTAGGAAACTCTCCTCCTCTTCCAAGTCTTCATCAACGTCCTGTCACAAGGAATCAAACTGACACGTCACGTCACATTCACATGAAATATGAAATGGCCTTACAACTGGGTCACATTGGAGAATATAAGAGAACACCAGGAGAAACTATTGGTATGATTGTGTGGAAATAGGAAATAGAAGTGTTCAACCTTCCAATAACAATAATAATAATTGTGCTTATAATAATTACCGAAAATGGGACCATAGGGAGACATTCCCATAGACTTGTGCGCAAATTTTTTCAAACTTAAATGTGCCCTAACCCAATATTCCCTGGTCCTTTTTCCGCGAATTTCGGTATGTTTACTAATTAGACCACGAGCAACAAATATAACCCGATTGTGACAGCAAAATTGTGCCTTTAGGGGGGCTGTGGAATTAGGGAGACATGAAAATGTCTCCCTAATGACCGGTGTCTCCCTATTGTCAAAGAAATTACGATAACATGTCTCCCTAATGCTACATTTGTAGTTTTATAGCGCTTTCCATCGCATCAACAATCTCAAAGCACTTGACAATTATTACCCCGTTCATCAGGCCATGGGACCACGCGGCAGCCGATATCAGCGCTCAATCGGTCCTCGACCCTCACAGATACCCATTTATACTCCTGGGTGGAGAGAGGCAATTGTAGTTAAGTGTCTTGCCCAAGGGCACACACACCATGTTCCTGGTAGGGTTCGAATCCATGCACCTTCGTACAAGAGTCAAACACTGTAACCACTGGACCACGGCGTTCTACGACTTAGCAGTCATCGCCTCATATATCTGGGATAAGTTCTTTTTTGTGTGTGATCTTTTTTGGGGGGGGGAGGGGGAGGGTTTAAGGTTTTTTGCGTGGGTTATAATATTACTTATTTGACTTTTTTTTATTTTAATGGTTACTGCTAGTGGCTGGTCCAGTCTTTATCCGTTTTTCGACATTTAATACTTTTTTTTACATTCTTGTTGTAGAATACAAAGATACATATTTTCTCTGTTTAATTGGCTTTTGTGGTAATAATAATTGTGATCACTTACTCTTGCTTGCATACTTCTTTTAGAATTATTATTACAATTCTCTCCTTTTTTTTTTAAATTGTGATTGCTTTTATATTGTATCTTTGAGAGACTCAAAGCAAGCTTCTCTCAGATAGACCTTGGCGCTACATATATTGTAAACGTTCGTCATTATTAAATTATAATTATTGTTGCGGGAAAAATTTATCTGCAAATAGGCCCAACGTAAACAGTGATGACACCTTCTCACAGACAGATTCTGGGGATTTGTTCAGAATCCCGCAACAAATGCTTGATGCAATGGGCTGTTGGGGATAAAATGGGGGGAAATATAACGAGGTATACAATGGAAAAAAATACATGCACGTTTACAATGAAAGATTAGTGGAAACGGAGGAATTATTCAGTGATAAACACTGATGGGTACTATGAGAAAATGTAATCAAAGAAATGGGCAAATAATATAATCACGCATGCAATAGTTTTATATTGCCCTCACCGCCATTTCTTCCTCTGCTTTATCCAAGGTGACTTCCACATCGTCCTCGATGGCCGATTCCTCTTCCATCTCCTCCTCAGGATAAACAGGCCTGGAAAGAAACAAAATTTAAGGATTAGAGATCGACGTAAGCAGACGCAAAGTTCTCGGGCCTAATGATTGCATCATCACTGTGTGAGAATATAAGACTGATGTGTGCCTAAGGCCAAAAAAAAAAAGTCTCCGGTTTCTGGTATGGAGCTTGCCCAAAAATGGTGCGGCAACGCGGCTTTTTAAAATTTTTTACCTGTTTTTTTTTGCTTCAAATGTCGGCTGATGACTGCAAATGGTGCCCGACTCAACTTAGTGCAAGTATATGGGAGTCCAGAGAGGCCACATAAAGCTTATTCTCGATCATAACCCCATATTAAAACACATTAAAATTGTGCAGCAGCAGGATTCCAGTCAAACCAGTAAGTTTGGCGGTTTTGAGACATCATCTTTCATTGAAAAAAAACCTTTTTCATTTTGCCGACGCGCATGGCTACGGCGACGCGCGCGCATACCAGAAACCGGAGACTTTTTTTTTTTGGTCTTAGTTGCGTCACTTGTTCTACACCCAATTTCATGCAGCAAACTTTTGTGCTTAATTAGCCTAAATCAACTGCGATCCATTCACGAGTACTATGGGTTCTGTGTGCGAAAAACTGAAGGCGCTCTACGACCACTTTCGAAAGTCCCATGGATGGGACACACCGCTTGCACGTTCGCACGCATATAGCGCAGAGTACGCACGACTTATTGTATTCTGAGTGTGCATAAAGCCATAGCATCTTAGGGCAAGTTCGCGCAAGGACTATAGTTAACCATTGGTCGACTAACGCTTGCCCGAACTCTGTCTAGTCGACGATGGTTAACTACGCTAGTCGACTATTTGGAACCAACCTACTGGGGCTGGTTGCATCGCTGGTAACCATAGCCTCGCGCATTCATAACGTACAGCAGGGAGCCAGGATCCAGATGTTTTGCAATGACATTTTGACCAGCGTTCGAATAGAGACGTTCGCTCTTTGCTATTAGTGCGCAGGCGTAAGGTACGTCACAAATCAACCACTAGTCGATTAATGGTCCTTGCCCGAACTTGGCCTTAGCGTGAGCGTCGTGCGTCTTGGGCAATGCGTTTAAATGTCTCTCCCAGTGGTCTCCCCCAACTCTCCCTTTCTTACCGTTGAGGGGGTGCTTGTGCACGGAGCACATGTATACTTTGGATGTTATTTAACTCTTTGGCTACGGCGAGCCGATGACAGTGGCACACACAAATTGTACATGTCGTACGGCAAGCCGCTGGCAGCGGCTCGGTGACGTGGCTGCGAATAAACAGGGTATCCCCATGACGTGTGCCTTATCTACATAATTTATATCGCATAACCTCTGACCCTGGTTTGAGCCGCTGCCAGCGGCTCTCCGTCTCGCTGGGGTCTGCTGCAGGTTATTGTGAGCAGTTTGTTTACAGAGAGACATTTCAAGATGACGGCGTCCACATCGACACACAGCGAAATTTCCAGCGGTTTATTACGTCCAAACGTGGAAAAATCGGTAAATTAAATTCCGTAGCGAAAGAGTTAAGGAACCTGATGATACATTCAAACCTCCAAATCATTATTTCTTTTCATTTTGAATATAAATCACGTTGAGTGGCAGCAGTCTAACCAGGCATACCGAAAGGTGGAGCACCCCCATGCTGACTAACAAATTGAGAACCCCTTGCCCCCCCCCCCCCCCCCCCGGCTGAAAATTTGCTCACCTTTCCTGAAAGCTATGTGCCATTTATTTAGCTCCCCAAACCATTGAAGAAACGTTCCCCAATCCTTCACTCGGAAACTGGCGTACTTTTCTAGAAAGTTAGGTGCCGCATGGAAGATAATAGTCATATTAGCTATCCCCATCCTTAAAGAAAATTTCCCAAACTCTCAACTTTTTTTAAAGCCACCATTTCATATTTACCCCAACCTTAGTGGAAATCCGCGGGGAGTCCTTTGTCAAGTGGAATCCCAAAGTTTCACTTGTCTGATATACAGGCTGGATCAAAAAAACCGAAACCGAGATATTATTGCTAATTGGAACAGAAGTAGGGCACATGTGAATCAAAGGGAGATATCCTCTGTTAGGGTTGAATCTCCTCTTTAAATGACACCCTGATCATGTCATTACATTCACGGTTGACTGAGCAGCGACCAATTTTATGTAAGGGTCTATTTTGAGGCTTGCGCCACTTTTCAATTGTGGTTTTTGTTGTGTCAATTGTCACAGAGTGAAAGGCTATGGTTACCAATCAAGGCAGGTGGGGAAAAAAGTGATTTCACCATGAAAAGTGGCGCAAGTCTCTAAATAGACCCTTACATAAAATTGGTCACTGCTCAGTCAACCGTGAATGTAATGACATGACCAGGGTGTCATTTTAAAGAGGAGATTCAACCCTAACAGAGGATATCTCCCTTTGATTCACGTGTCTCCTACTTCTGTTCCAATTAGCAATAACATATCGGTTTCGGTTTTTTTTATCCACCCTGTAGAGTCAACATTTCAAACAATTCCTCGCCTCTCACCTGCCCCAATTGAAGCTGGTCTGCCGCAGTGCCTCATCGGCCAGTTTGTCGATGACATAGATGCAGTGCTCTCCCCAGCCTGCCTTCAGTTTAGCCGGAGGGAAATCTACGGCGGCTCCGATGCGACGTACCTCGTCCAGGATGCTGGAGATGGTGGCGTTTGGATCGTCATACTGGTGGGGAAAAAAAAATAAAACCAGTTTGGCAAAGCTTTGTCACTTTTATTGATTCTACCCCGACCAGGAGTAGATGAGGGCAGACTTTGGGCCCTTGATCCTGATTGGTCGATCCATGGCAACAATCTGTTGTAAAGTTTCTCATATACCACAGTCCATACTGCTGCATGTATCGCGCTATTCTAAGATGCACGTGCGCTATAGACCATTATCATGTTGCGGCCATCGTGATTGTTCCCATTCAAATCAACGTAACCAAAGCGAGGCTGGAAGGAAAAATAGTCTGGTTCCTTTTTGCGCAAGAAAATTATCATTCAGTACTGTTATTGGATACAGGGAACATGACTGAAATGGTGGCAGCATGATAAAGGTCTATTCCATGTAATAGGATAAGTGCTGGAAAGGAACTACATGTACAGCGTGTACATTCCATGTTTACTGTGCGTCAGGTTTGCTTGAAGATGAATTCATTATCCCACTTGCATTTGCGTACACAGACAATTGCGCGCATCTGGGTTCCTTATGCCACTCGGCCTTCGGCTCACAAACGCACTACATTATCATGTGTTCCGCTCGCACTCGTGGGATAACTCATCTTGAATGATATCATTAATATGATCACCACCTTATCATTTCATCTGCAAGATTAAGGCTGATTGAAATAATAATAATAATAATAATCCGCATTTAACATGTTTAAGAACGCTCTTATTAGTAAACTAAATCACAGCGCTTACAGTATTATTATTACCCCTGATCATTGGGCCAATTAAACACTCCAAATACCATCTCAGCTCCCTGGGGAGTATACAGCTGGATGCTGCCTGTTAGGCGCAAGCAAGCTTATTCAATCACAATAACCATCTCTGCCCTCACAGTTACCCATTTACTCCTGGGTGGAGAGAAGCAATGAGTGACAAAGTGCCTTGCCCAAGGGCACATGCACCATGACCCCGGCTGGACTCGAACCCACAACCCGCAGCTTTACCCACAGACCACGAATCCAGTGCCCTTAACTTCGAGGCCACAGCACTCCAATAAACTTCGCTATCAATGAACCAATGTATCGACTTCAATATATGGGCCCCCAATGCAAATGACAAGCTGATATCAGCGATGAAGTCGAGTCCATCACAAGTCCAGTCACAAGTATCAGTGTATGAACAACAACAAAGGAATGCCTTTGTCAAAGCTCATTTGAATAGCTTGTGATTTGAACTGGGACTGGGGGACTTGCGAAGGACTTGCAGGGAATTGTGATGGTACGCAAATATTGAGTGGCTCAGAGTGAAATGGGAGGAATATTATCGCAAGGTAAAATCTGGACTTTTCCATTTCACGAGGCGAAGCCGAGTGAACTGGAAAAGACCAGATTTTACAGAGTGATAATATTCCTCCCATTTCACAATTTAAAGCCACTCAATATTTGTTTTATATAACTGACATATAGGCCTAGATCCTTGTCATTTGATACAGGTATATTTGCACTTTTATTTCAACACAAAATTGGTGGAAAATGTATTTCTCTCTTCCAAACCACCCCTTCACGAAATTGTTTGAACCCAACTCTGTAGCGCTGGCTGTTTGGAACAATACGCGCTACGCACAACGCTAAATGCGCACATCAGCATGCATTTGCACATAAATACCACGTCATGGAACAAGAGTGATCTCAACTGTTGAAAAGTATTTCCCATTCCCCATGGGCGAATGGGGCTTTTTGAGCCCCGGCGTGAATGGCAGCAATAACGAATGTCACGTGATGTGAGTTCCACCAATCAAATGACAAGGATCCGTATGTCAGTTAAATAAACTTGACTACATCCCTGGCTGATATGCATGTAAGCTCAACATTAGAAGCGATGTTCTATTTCCATCTAATTATTAGCAACTAATATCACACTCAACATAATTACGAGTCCCATCAATAACACAAAAAAAAGTACAGTCTTTTTCACACTGACCTCTTGCGGCTGATCAAAGTTTTTCCCAGCCTGGTTGATGAGCCATGCCGATAGTGAAGTAAACATGTAGAACTGCTCACCGGGATTTGTAGGTATGGCGAAATAATGTCTGGATAGAACAAAAAGAGAATTTTTTATATTATTCAGGGTTCGACCTTAACTTTTTTTGTTCACTAGCCAGCCGGGCTACTGAAACGGACTTTTAACTAGCCCGCGGGCATTTTCACTAGCCCGCATTTCTTTTCTTATCTCAAATAATAAATGGCGTATTTTCAGGCTCAATTCTGAGGCAATTTTGACAGTGTTTTTTGAATTAACAGATCTAATAATTTAACCCTTTAAAACAGTTGATAAAATTAGACACAAATTGATGGGGTTTTCTTTCTGAATGTAATGATTTATTTCTTTCTGTAAGTTTGTCTTTGCCGTATCCCAATAATTTTTCACTTGCCAGCTGGGCTAGTAAAGGACTAGTTTGACTAGCCCGCCGTTGTTTTGACTAGCATTTGGCTAGCGGGCTACCGCTTATTTCGAACCCTGTAGTATCCTTTTTTTCAAAATATCAAAATCAATCTCAGAAAACTCAATACATGGTTATACATGCTTGATTAATGAGACATTAATACAATATTAAAAAAAAAATTTTCACTCAAACAATGCAAGGTACAGCCTATGACTTTCATACAATGTATTCTCCAAAATCAACCGACACATTTTTGCCATTCAGTTTCAATCCTCCAAAATCACCCACAACCGCCTGGTTGATTTTGTGAAGATCGAGGAGTGTTAGGCTTAAGACTTTATCACTTTGGTCTCAATATTTTCATCTATCTGGCCAAAAGACGACTTTCAGTCATCATCTTCCACAAATATCGTCACGAAAATGCTCCCCCATGCGATTTCAAAATGGCAGCCGCGCTGTAATGTATGCATTATGCAGGCGCGCTTGGGCAAGATTATGAATATGCATTATTTAGTTCATGACCTCGTGTTTGTATGGCCAGCCGCGCCGCGCGCCCGACAAATGTCATAAACTAATATGCATTATCTTGCCCAAGCACGCCTGCATAATGCATACATTACAACGCGGCCGCCATTTTGAAATCGCATGGAGGACATTTTCAGGACGATATTTGTGGAAGATGATGACTGAAAGTCGTCTTTTGGCCAGATAGATGAAAACATTGGGACCAAAGAACGTTTTTTCAAAAAGGTATGAGTTCTTCTACGACTAGGAACCTTAACTTTGGAAATTTCTGTCCTGGACGAGAAGATAATCTCGATCAAAATCTGTAGCAAAATCGCTACATCAGCAGGAAAAAAATTCAGTCTGTGGGGAAACATTGAGCGTCTGGCCGTACTACAGAGCTTGCGATAGTACTGTACGGCCAGACGCAGTCGGGCTACCGCGTAACATAATACAGAGCGCGTGACCATAGCCTTTGTTGCTGTGTCTGGTTTTTTTTTTTATCCATAACTATGACGCAACAACGGTGAATGACGGAAGACCCGATATAGAAAGCACCCGCTGATTGGTCAAAATCTAGAGTTCAAGATGCGGTTGTCTTGCATAATTAATCAGCGAATCAAATTAGGTTTTGCCCTTCACCGACGTTTAAACACTGTACACTCAGTGTGTTACCTCCCGAGTGAAACTTGGAAAAAAGCACTCGGGTGGGACTCGAACCCACGACCTCCTGCTTTCTAGTGCAGATGTCTTACCACTCGACCACCGAGCTAACGGGATCGGTTGGCCTAAGACTTTTTCGTACCTTGAGAGTGGCTTAAAGGCCAGACCCTTCAGAAAGCCTTCCTCGTAGTCCATCAACTTCAACTTGTCCATCAAATCCTCCATGATTACAAAGTGCATGTAGGTCTGGCCCGGCCCTGACTCCCCCTCCGCCTCGGCCCCGCCCCTCCTGGTCTCCTCGGCCATCGTGATTGGTCGGCACAGCTGTCAATCACTGCCACTGTCCACTGAGTGTAATGGATGCTGTCGATGACAGGCTTATGCTATTGTCAGTGTTTCTTGTGCTCTACAGACTAACTCTCAATATCTTAAATATGACGAAGAAGCATGTTATACTCCTTCAACACTCATGCTGCGACCCCTTGCTGAAGTACATCAAACATGCATTTGAGCTTAACATTGACTCTTCAGGCATTCCATAGTCCATCGATTCTGCTGATAAAAGAAAAACAGAAACTCTTTTAGACATGATTTACTGGCAGAGCTACATAAATGGCAAGATGAGGTCCCATTTTCTTGCAAGCATCTGTGGCTCACATGAATGTCTGTAGGTCCTAGTTTGACCAAGGGTCTTCCATTCGACGGCTGTTTCTTGATTCGCCCATACTGTATTGCTGCGCGCCATTGGTTGAGAGATTGTACAAGAAACAGTTGCCGTATTGCAAATCACACGCCTGAGAGACAAGATCGATTTGCATAAGCGCGACGTCACAGCTTTGGGGTCATCGCTTCTTACATTCAAAATGGCTGCCATCATTACAGACGATTTTCATGTGCATATGAATTATGATATGAGCTCCAGAAAGATTCAAAAATTTCTCGGAAAATCGGATTATTATTTTATTAGGACACCTGAATGTATGAGGTATGTGGGTGAACTCTGGAGTCTGGGGTGGGATATTAGAGGTGAAAATGAACAATTTTTGGGAGAGGCCATTTTTTTAGGGTCTCTTGCTACCACATGGAAACGAACAGGTTTTCCTCCAGCGTTACATGTGAATGAATATGGAGCATGTTAGCCCCACTAGTGTGGCCGTCGGTATGCTGCGCTGAACCTTTGGCCACACACCGTGGTACCGCGCGCTACTGAGGACGAAGTTTTTCATAAAATTCAGGGCAGTTTCTTACATTTTCAGTTTCTTACTTTCTTATGGTTGTATTCTATGATGTCTCCTATCACTTCTGGGATGCTTAGCATGTGCTTAGGTCTAATGATGTTCCATTTTCCGAGATATTCTTCAATCTTTCTGGAGTCCATATGCACTCGTGAAACGTCTGGTGATGGCAGCCATTTTGAATGGGACAAGAGATGACCTCAAGCTGTGACGTCGCGTGTATGCAAATTGCTTGTCGAGCGCGCGAGGGCGCGAGTTGCAAATGCGACGGCTGTTTCCTGTACCATGCATTTATCGTCAGGGGGCCACGTGCACCGATCTCTATTCAGGATCTACAGCACAGGAAACAGCCGTCGCATTTGCAACTCGCGCCCTCGCGCGCTCGACAAGCAATTTGCATAAACGCGACGTCACAGCTTGAGGTCATCTCTTGTCACATTCAAAATGGCTGCCACCACCAGACGTTTCACGAGTGCATATGGACTCCAGAAAGATTGAAGAATATCTCGGAAAATGGAACATCATTAGATCTAAGCACATGCTAAGCATCCCAGAAGTGATAGGAGACATCATAGAATACAACCATAAGAAAGTAAGAAACTGAAAATGTAAGAAACTGCCCTGAATTTTACGAAAAACTTCGTCCTCAGTAGCGCGCGGTACCACGGTGTGTGGCCAAAGGTTCAGCGCAGCATACCGACGGCCACACTAGTGGGGCTAGGAGCATGTCAGCTAGCTGGAGTTACTCAAGCTAAGGCCTAGCCCCATAAATGTGGCCTATTTACTGGACTGCCTCCGTAAACATAGGCCACACATCCACATGTACAAAAATCGTGTCGACAAATGCCAAATTTTGATTTTCACATTTAGGCTTAGTTTGTAGGATTTTTTTGCTTTAGAAGCATACTCACCCTCTTTATAGGCTAGTCAGAAAGTGCTGCCTTTTTCAGATGTCTAATTTTTGTGAAATTTCATGTTGAAATTTTGATACGCAAACGTGTAAAAATGAATCTGGAAATTTCACGAAAAATATACATCTGAAAAAGGCAGCACTTTCTGATTAGCCGATAAAGAGGGTGAGTATGCTTCTAAAGAAAAAAAACCCTACAAACTAAGCCTAAATGTGAAAATCAAAATTTGGCAAAGTCGACACGATTTTTGTACATGTGGATGTGTGGCCTATGTTTACGGAGGCAGTCCAGTAAATAGGCCACATTTATGGTCAACTCGTACGCGAACCAACTCGTACGCGAGTCAACTCGTACGCGGATTGGTCAACTCGTACGCGAGACAACTCGTACGCGAGCCAACTCGTACGCGTGCCAACTCGTACGCGAGCCAACTCGTACGCGAGCCAACTCGTACGCGAGCCAACTCGTACGCGAACCAACTCGTACTCGGGCCGTTTTAGGAGTGGTTTCGAGGATTGGGTTGGCATGGTTGGGAAGAATTTGGGAAAAGTGTGACGGGTAGTCCGTAGTTCAATGTGTGACCGTTGTGTGTGACTGGGAGTGAACCCGTGAATGATGATAATAAAGTAACTGATTTTTGTAGTTAGACGAGTGTTGTATCATTTTGTGCATACCTGTAGCCTTGTCACGTCAAATTTAATTCCATATATTAATGCAACGATGTACCAGTTGCATTTTTCGTGTTTTTTTAATCAATGTACCTGTCAGTCAATTAATTGTCACCATTGTCAAACTGACCCAATTGCAACGCTCTGGACTACCATGGATCTGTTCTCGCGGTTCAGTGTCCTAAAAGAACCGGCGGGTTAGAAGATCAAAAGAAACCCCTTTAATTTGTGTCTAATTATCAACTGTTTTAAAGGATTAAATTATCTGATCTGTTAATCAAAAACACAAACAAAATTCCCTCAGAATTGCGCTTGAAAATACGCCATTTTGTATCTGAGATAAGAAAAAAATGCGGGCTAGTAGAAATGCCCGTGGGCCAGTAGCCCGGCTGGCTAGTGAACAAAAGAAGTTGAGGACGAACCCTGCACATTCCGCCCCATTCAATGAAATTCACCTCCCCATCGTTTTAATTTACAAAATATAATTTGGATACATAATAATTAGGACTAAAAAATTATCGGACCCAAGCAAAAAATTAATTTTCTGACCCAAGAAAATCGCATTTGACCCAAGAAACCTCGCATTTCCGGTGAAATTATATAAAATTCTGATTATAACAAAAAATAAAAATCAACTCCCCATTTTTTCTTTTTTTACAAAATATTCTTTGGATATATAATAATTAGGGCTAAAAAACTATCTGACCCAAGCAAAAAAACTGGCGGACACTGTCCGTACAACTGTATAAGCATGCGTGATGCTATATTCCTTTTTTTATAGTAGCTCCTTTTTATACAATAGACCTCGCAAATATCGGTGTTTTCTTGTCATTTTACTTGTCTAACCAACCAGCAATTGTACCGCGGCATACACAGGTTACAGCGATTCAATCATGCATTCTTTGTACAGTGCGCGGTGCGGCGGGAACCAATCATACTGGTTATCGCGAAGACAACTTCCCAATCAATCAAGCGAACTTGTAAAAAAAAAAAACAAACGCAGAATTCTTCTCTAAAAAATCGCAAATGTAAGTAGCACTGGCGGATTCAAAAATCAACTACATTTAATTTGAAAATCTCAACCTTTCAGAAAAGGTAAAATTATGCCGACCTACCGTACCGAACCTAATTTCATCTGTCCATGTGAGCTAAACCAATCGTCTAAACTCACGCGTACGAGTTGGTCCGCGTACGAGTTGGTCCGCGTACGAGTCGGTCCGCGTACGAGTCGGTCCGCGTACGAGTCGGTTCGCGTACGAATTGACCCGTGTACGAGTTGGTCGCGTACGAGTTGGTTCGCGTACGAGTTGACCTGTATTCGCTAAGGCCCTGCACTATACACAATCGCCGGAAAAATATTTGTCTGATGAGCCCACAGGAATAAATAAGAGAGAAGAAAGTAAAAGACAGGAACGAGTTAATCTAACTTCTTCACTAGGAAATAAATCAAGCAATCAAACTTACTCAAAATGTGATGTTCCAAGTTGGTTTTGGTCGGCAAGAAATGACAACAGCGTTCATCGCCAAGCACAACCAAAACTATTTACAAATGGTATTGCTCCCAGACTCCCAATCTTTTATTGCTGTAAAACACACCGGCAATGATAGGTATCAGACTAACCTTTAGATTTTTTTTCAACCTCGTATTATTTATCGCAAAACTCCAGCATGTGGAGAACAGCTCTGTGTATAAGGTTTTGATGAATTATTCATCATAGGTCAGGGCCAGGGTCGATCGCATTGCGCACGTCGCGCACACACAAAAATACACGCGCACGGAAAAGGACGATCGCACACCCTGTACTTTGCCACATGTTCCTCATTTTGCCAAGAAAAATCAACATTCCAAAATAAGTTTTCAAAGGGATACCATGGCTAGTAACGAAGTTGATGACGTGAAGAAGGACGCTGAAGTCAGCGGTGAAGCAGACACTGTTGACGCCAGTAATCGGAAGATTTACTTCGGTAAGGTCAGAAAGGTCCGAGTCGGAAAATGCGCATGCAGATTGCAGTGCATGGAGTGATCGATATCGAGTTCTCGTGGCTGCATGCGGTTGGATTAACCGGATGCATTCACATAGCATCTGCGCCCTCATGCGCCTAGCCCAAAATGTGGCCAATTTACTGGACTACCTCTGTAAATAAAGGCCACACTTGGAACTTGACCCGAACATGTAGAACTTTGTCAAATTTGGGATTTTCACATTTAGACTTTATTTGTGGTTTATTTACGCTTAGTTTAGACATGTTTGTTAGAAGCATAATCTGATCACCCTCTTATACTTATTAAAAAATTATTCCCCCCTTTTTAAGACATCTACTTTTCATGTAATTTCGTGTTGGGGCGAGTACGCAAACGTGTGCAAACGAACCTGGGAATTACACAAAATATAGATGTCTACTTTTCATGTAATTTCGTGTTGGGCTTGGGGCGAGTACGCAAACGTGTGCAAACGAACCTGGAAATTACATGAAATATAGATGTCTGAAAAAGGGGGTACAAATTTTCTATCGCTTTGAAGAGGGTGAGTATGCTTCTAAAGCGTAAATAAACTTCAAATATAGTCTAAATGTGAAAATCCAAATTTGATAAAGCTCTACAAATACATGTTCAGGTACATGTTCCAAGTTTGGCCTTTATTTACGGAGGTGGTCCAGTAAATTGGCCACATTTATGGGGCTATTATGCGCTTTAGTATCACTTCTTTCAGATATGAAGGAAAGAAATTTATGAAGAAAATATGCTATATTATAGCTTTATGCCCTAACTGTTTTATACAACAGTCGACTATCTGGTTCCCTGACCTGACATGACAACATACAATTTCAACATACCGGATCTTTGGCTCTTGGATTCGGAATATCAACCAAATGGTTCTCGGACTTGATTTTCCTTTTAAACAAATCCTTGGTTTTTTTTAGCAGTGCTATAACGATAGCACTTGAAAATCTTGTTACGGGCTCTGATTCTACCTCCATGGTCAAATCACCAAAAAAAATTGAAAGTTTGGGGAAAAAATGTTGCAACCTGACGCCATTTCAGCGGTTTGTGTACAAAGTCTATGGAGAGTCAAGAACATTTTCTAAGTATTTCCTACCAAAATTGGAAATGTGTCCCAGTCCCAGATTCATGTCTTATCATTTTTGCAATGACTGACCTTCATTGAGATGATATTAGCCCCATAAATGTGGCCAATTTACTGGACTACCTCCATAAATAAAGGCCACACTTCCACCAAGTACAAAAACATGTCGAACTTTGTCTGTTGAAGCATACTCACCCTCTTTATAGGCTATTCAGAAAGTGCTGCCTTTTTCAGATGTCTAATTTTCGGGAAATTTCATGTTGAAATTTTGATACGCAAACGTGTGCAAACGAATCTGGAAATTTCACGAAAAATAGACATCTGAAAAAGGCAGCACTTAGTCCAGTAAATTGGTGACATTTATGGGGCTCAGGTGATATATGTAGATAAAAGTGGCGTCAGGTTGCAACATTTTTTCCAAAGTTGAAACCCCATCATATTGGTTCAAACTTTATGGGGTAAATTTATACTGAAAAAGCTAAAATTTTAAGTTATAGTGCCATCAGATAAATGGTTTTTGGGCTAACGCCCGCCATTGTTTGGCAATTTTGGACAAAATGGGTGTTGCCGCCAATTTTTAAATTACCATTTCTCCATATTCCTGTGGGCCAAACATTGTTAATCTTGGTGTTTTTTTTGGGGGGGGGGGGAAGGTTACATCGTAAGACATCCACATTTACCATTAATTTTCATGTCGGGGTAATTTGAAGCATGATGACTTTTTGACCTTGAATTTGACCTTATTGATCAGGTGACTTTGAGACGAATTTGGATGAAAATTATACCCCATCATGTTTTCCACAAAATATCCAGAAATTGGGTGTATTAATATTTTGTTTTTTGGGGTTTTTAGGTTATCTCAAAGTTAGCATACTTATTGCAAAATGTGATATCCCTATGCAATGTACTACTAGTGGATTTAAAGCTGGGATTTTGTTGTCCCTGAAATGTGCATGTATAAGGGATATCACATTTGCAACACATGTAGAAACCAAACAAAAGATATTATACCCCCAATTTTTGTGTATTTTGTAGAAACATGATGGGGTGTAATTTTCATTAAAATTCGTCTCAACGTCACTTGATCCTCAAGGTCAAATTCAAGTTCAAAGTAAAGGTCAAAAGGTCATCATACTGCAAATTTATACTCCGACATGAAAAGTAAAGGTAAGTTTGGATTCCTTGTGATGTTTCCTTTTCATAGCAACCAAGATCAACAAATTTGGCCAACAGGTAGGCCTATAATGGAGATATGGCCATTGGAAAACGCCCATTTTGACCAAAATTGCCAAACAATGGCGGGCGGTAGCACGAAAACAGTTTGTCCGATGGCGCTTTAAACTAAAATTTCAGCTTTTTCAGCTTAAATTACACCACAAACTAAATATGAGCAAATTTGAAGGGGGTGGGGTTTAACCCATTGGGTGATTTGACACAGAATGACCCTACAGTTGTCGTAATGATAGCCACTACCCTTTTTTGGGGTGGGGGGGGGGGTGGTTGCCTATTTCTTATAATCTCGGGAGTTTGGGGTATTGTTGAAGATGTTCCAGCTTAAACTGGCCACCGATTGGAATATAGTGCTCCTGCGCTTGTTGAAAACTGACAAAAAGCTTAGGAAAATAATATAAAGAACAGGTAGCAGTTGCTGACATTTTACTGGTTTTAAAGAAGAAATTTGAGCTAATATTCCTCATGGAAGCTCTAAAATCATGCACAATAATTGCCTTCAACAGAAATGTGGCGTTGGACAAAAAAATATAACCCTACAACTTTTTTCATCATCTCCTCGAGACTGCTCATATTTTTTTAAATATTTGAATTAAACAACATGGTATTCGGTTGATATTCGAATCTTCAGTTTATTTGGCACAGCCCGACATGTAAACCCGGTCTTCCTTGCTCTTTCTGCAGGTAATCTTCCCTTCTCAACGACGGCCGAGCAGCTCGAGAGTTGGGTGTTGGAAGGCATCTCTGAGCCCAACAACAAAGATGTCAAGGGGGAGATTGCAATGGACGGCATCGGACGGGCACGGGGATTTGGGTACATCGACGCCCCGGAAGACTTGAAGGAGGAAATCTTGAAACTGCACGGCCAGTAAGTCCAGGCTGGTCTTGTCGGCTTCTGTTACATGTATGCTTTGTACATGAGCATGGAGTAAAACTGCGGGCTTTTTGAAAAACATGTACACAACAATCTTGTTGTTGCGTCCATGTATATTTGGTCAAGTTGAGTCAAAGAGTGTTTTTTTAACATTTCAATATTACTTCTGCAACCTACATGTCAAATGAATTCTCTTAATTCTAATAACCCTCTTTTTATTTCTTTTATTTTTTAACAGTATCTATCAGTAGAACATTTTCTTGCATGTATGTTCAGGCATGAGATTTTTCAGACTTTTGTCTGAAATCAGACTTTGTGTATCTGAGAGAAAGACATTGTCAGTTTAGAAAGAAACGCATCTTTCAGACCTTTCATCCAATTTTCAGATTTTGTTGAAATTGACAATCTCATCCCTGTAACATCGCAGTTATGGGTATTTTTCTTTTGTGTTGCGCGTTTTTGTCATCTTCGTCGTCATTTTGCCCCAAAATATCCATGTAGTGGGCTGTTGGTCAATTTGGCCCAGTTTCATGACTGTTGACTTGTTCATGTGTGCAAAATCCTGTATCTAAGAATTTTTCCCTTTATATGTAAGCTTGGTAAGTCTGATTGTTGTTACACCTGCACTGTTAATATAAAGCACAGTATGACATGTATGATAAGAGCCCTGCTATTGGGCTCTGTAGTGTATTGTGTTCTACTTTGCTTGTATAACCCTAACCGCCCTGAATCCTTCAAAATCCTCTTTGCCAAAGTGGAGGAAATTGGAGGACTGAGGTTACATGACAAAAGTACGTTACTGATTGCGTAGGATGCACTTTGTCAAGGTCTTGGGCCAGACCTTGTGTTGCTTTTGCTCAGCCATGCATAAATATAGGCCTGGATTATGCTTGAAATCCTCCGTACTGCTCCAGGATGTCACTGGCCAAGCCTCAACATATTGACAGTCACTGCCGCAGGATTTGGAAGGATTCAGGCAGTGGTCACCCCTCCACGGACCATATTCAAGAAATAATGGAGAAATTTGCGGGATTGAGGCTACGTCCTGGCAAAAAGGCCCAGGGAGTTAGGGTTAACTGTTAAAAAATTATGATTAAAATTAAATTAAAAATTAAAATTAACATTGACTTATTCCGGTTTGTGGTAAGCAATGATCAATGTCTGATATGATTTCTTCCCACTTGATACAAAAAAAGTAAATATGATGTATTCCCCCTCGAAAAAAAGAAGATGTATTTAGAAAGATATTCATTTAAATTTCATTTTGCATTTGTGATTGAAGGTCTCTCGACGGCAGGAAACTGCGAGTACAAGTCGCCCGCGACGCCAGCTCAAAAGCCAGGTGGAGCGGAGACAACAAGGGCGTGCAGGGCAATAGGAGGCGTTTCCCCCGCCCCATTGCCAGCAAGCTGCTGGCCACGCCCTCCCACACGTACACCTTGATTGACGTCGGCGCCAACCTGATGCACAAGACCTTCGGCCGGGCGGGCCTGCCCAGCCGCAGTCGGACGAACGCCGTCAAGGTAGTACCCTGAGTCAGTTTTGCGACCGAGTGCATTTCCATGGGTATGCGTAGGAGTACTTTGCCATGGGTACAAGTACCGGGCAATATTTTTCTATTAGTATGAGCTTGTACCAGTCCCTCTGTTTTGAGGCGTGGGATCACACCCCCACGCCATCACACGCCTAAATGCTGCCCGAGAAGTGCGAATAATCGCACGCCTGAATCCCTCAGTACCGCACACCTTGGCATACATTTACAGCATAATTTTACTTCGTAATTTGTGAAAAATAAAGTATGTCAGTGAAGAGAAAACGGCTTTATTGTAAAACAAGATGAATATTATGGGGAAAAAAACCCAGATTGTTCAGTCCCGGCTTGGACCACAGCATCACACACCTTGAAAAATCACACGCCTAGAAAAATTACATGCCTAGAAAAATCCAGGTGTGCGTTTTTCCACGCACCTGTAATTTTCAAATCAGAAGGACTGTTTTACATTTCTAAGATTATGAGTACAAGTACGAGTAAAAGTGTGAGAGCGGGCACTCTCAAAGACTATGAGTATATTTCAATGGGTACACGTTTGCAAGAGGTTTTGCTGTCCTAAACATGAGGTTTTGCTGTCGCCCTAGGCATGCCGCAAAAACAGTACAGTATGGGGTCTTTTCGTACATGTACCTCTTAAACAAGTATCTGTGGCTGCTTTAGGGACTGTGACCATTCAGCCCTGGTATGAAAAGGGCCCCCCGGTACCTCGACCGGTCCAAAGCCAGTCCGGTCTTTAGCCCAGTCTCGTTCGGTACATGGTCCTGTCTGACCAGAAGTTTTGAAGTCAGTCAGGCGCATCAATTTATTGCCCTTCAGAGAACGCCCAGAGCAGAACAATAGCAGACTTTAATACCAGATTAAAGATAAAATCTTTCCATAACGCCTTGGTAATTTACGGTCCCATTGTGTGCGAAACCCCATGGCAGGGGGTTTGATCTGTGCCGACGAAAGTGTTCTATTGTTTCGCGCTGAGAGATGAAAACCACAAGCGGGTTTCTTCTGGGATATATTACATGTGTCAATACTTGCAAACAATAGACACCAGGATAGAGGAGTTCCTGATTAGCAACCGGACCAGCTCCTGGGCCGGTAGCTGGAACAGTATGAAAGGACTTCTTGGGAGGGGACGAGCTTACCGGGGGGCCCTTTTTATACCGGGGCTGAATGGTCACGGGCCCTTACTCACTGCAGTATCAGATTCAAACCAGCCAGCTGACCCTGGCAAGCCTGGTGGTTGAGTGGTAAGACGTCTGCACTAGTAAGCAGGAGGTGTTGGGTTCGATTTCCACCCGAGAAGTTTGTGAATTTTTTTCTCGCAATCACTCAGACAACTCTTGAGTATATACAGTGTTTGTAGAATAGGTCAGTGACGGGTAAACCCAAAGTTGAATTTACTTGTTTTCGTTTCAGAGAGCTCGGTCCATGGGGGTAGAAACGATCATCGTGACGGGCACGTCAGTTGTTTCAACGATGAATGCGCAGGATCTAGTAGACGACTTTACCGGGACCTTGTTTTTCACAGCAGGTGTGTTCAACACATGTTTTTTTTTCCACAAATGTTGGCCATTATGGTTTGTCTAGACTTTGAGAGTTCTGGCACAGATCCCATGACTTAAAGCTATAGTCCATCATTTGCAGCCATCCGAAAAGTAACTGGCGTAATTATTGTTGAAAAACAAACTTGGTTGAAAGATAGTAAGGGGACTAAACTCCCTGTGAAATTATTCTCTCTGGGAAGCTGTCATTTTGAAGTAATCAACGAAAGAAGGCATTTCCAACGGTGATTCTTAAGAAGCACCGTAGGAAAATTTAATTTAGTAGTTTGTTTTGTTATTCAGCGCAGCGCGCACAAGTATTGGAACGACGCACACGCGCGCGCGGTTGTTATAATTCGTCGGATCAGTGCGCGACGTCGCGTGTAGCTGCAATTCAAAACAATTCAAAACATGATTCAGTAACTTTTGATTTGTAATTGAGATCTTAGAATGCTGTTTTTCTCGGAATGTACAGCTGAAGCTTAGCTGAAACTTCATCAGGTTAGTTGCTCAGTATCCTTCATTAGATTTTGAACTCTTTTGTTGCTTCAAACGAACAAAATGCACAAATTACAAATGATGGACTGTAGCTTTAAACACAGCACTGTAAACTGTTAACTGCTCTGCAGACTTTTGTCACTTGACACACTTGTACATACAAGTTAATGACTGTTGAAAATTGATATGGTGGACAGTGATACAAACAAATATCTTTTTTTTTTGTAGTGGTGCAAGTCTAAGCACAATCTTTAACTACCAAAATTATGGTAAAGAAAATTATGGTAGGGTTGGATAGCTCAGTTGGTGGAGCACCGGAGAGGCAATCCAGAGGTTGCAGGTTCAAACCTCGCTCAACTCAATTTCCTTGTTCAACTTTGAAAATAAAGTATAATAATACACCTAGTCATTTTCCCTTTTGTAGTTTATATGGAAATTTGTAATAAACAGCTGTATATCCTCTTTTAGTGAATCCCGTTTGCTATTTCCCGGGTTTGCAGCATTGCTAATGATGCTAGCAACGTGACTTTGGGTGTGATCCCTGCCTACATGGCATATACAGGCTTATGGGGTCTGACTAGTGCCCCTTGAACAAAGACTTGACAAATTTGGGAACCGCCAACATAGCCCTATGATAGCTCAGTCGGTAGAGCACTGGAGCGGCAATCCAGAGGTCACAGGTTCAAACCCTGCTCCAGTCAATTTCTCTGTTCAACTTTTAAAATTATCATAAAGAACCAATCAGTTTCCCTTTGTGGTTCATTTGAAAACTTGAAACAGAAAGCCGCATCCTCTCTGAGTGATCCTGTTAGTCATTTCCCAGGTTTGCAGTATTGCTAAATTTTAATAACATCGTGACTTTGGACGTGATCGCTGGCTACTTGGCATACACGGGTTTATGGCTTCTGATATTGACAAAATGGGGGACCACCAACATAATAGGGCTGGATGGCTCAGTTGGTAGAGCACTGGAGCGGCAACCCAGAGGTCCCAGGTTCAAACCTGCTTCAGTCAATTTCTTTGTTCAACTTTTAAAAAAAATTATCATGGGTTGAAAATCGGAAGCTCAGATTTGGCATGGGATTCTACATGTATTCCATTCTTCAGAACCTACAATGGAAACTGCTTTGCCACCTGTAGCTTTTGTGTTCATTGTCATCATTCTTTATTAAAGCTACAGTCCATCATTTGCAGCTATCCAAAAAGTAACTGCCGTAATTATTATTGAAAACCATAATTGGTTGAAAGATAGTAAGGGAACTAAACTCCTTGTGAAATTATTCTTTCTGGCAAGCTGTCATATTGAAGAAATCAAAGAAAGAAGGCCTTTAGTAGTTAGTTTTTTTATTCTGCGAAGCGTGCGCAATCGTTGACACTATGCACACGCGCGTGCGGTTGCTATGAAATCGAGATCCTAGAATGTTGTTTTTCTCGTAATATACAACTGAAGCTGAGCTGAAACTTCATCAGGTTAGTTGTTTAGCACCTTTCTTTAGATTTTGAGCACGTTTGTTGCTTCAAGCGAACAAAATGCACAAATTACAAATGATGGACTATACCTTTAATTGTCATCAATCTTTATTAATATCTCTCCATTGCTCTTGGGGGGGGAAAAACAGGTGTGCACCCGCACAGTGCCAAGAGTTGGGATGTCACAAGCGCGGAGAAACTAGAGAAACTAGCTGAAGACCCAGCCTGCGTGGCCATCGGCGAGACCGGTCTAGACTTCAAACGCAACTTCTCAGAACCCGAGGAGCAAGAAGAAGTGTTTGAGAAACAGGTGTGTAATAGTTAGTCTATACCGTGGTCTATTACATATGGACAGATTCGCTGATTAATTAGGCAAGACTCCGCCTCTTGTCCTTCTAGATTTTGACCAATCAGCAGGCGCTTTCTATATCGGGTCTTCGGTCGTTCACCCGTCGCGTGTCATAGAAACAATGGATAAAAAAAAAGTGTGTCACGCACTCTGTATCACGTTATGGGATATCGCGCCCGGCTGTTGGAATTGACCAATCAAACCATTTAGTCCTGATTTAGGAATGAAATGACGTCACGATTTAGTAAAGTTGCCTCAGATTGGTTGGCAGCGGCTTGCATATATGCATGTCTAGACATATCAGACGTTATACAGGAGTCTTGCTCCGTGGATAACGGGTGATACTCAGACTATGTGTTAGATGGGCAGCTTTTTGCGGGAATTGTGCCTTCAATGATACAAACACGGCATTTGGCACACAGAGTATGTCCTATGAAAGATATTTGGCTATAGGACCATCGCAGATTTGTCCTTTGAAAAAAATATAGGTGGAATAACAAGCATTTTCAAAATTTTCAAAATGGCTGCCATTGCTGGTTATTCTACCTTATGCTAACTGTCAGAAACAATAGATGAGAGTTTTTTCCGAAACACTTTCTACATCTTTACAGGTGCAACTTGCCTGCCGTCTGAAGAAGCCTCTGTTCATCCACGAGAGAGAAGCGCACACCAAGCTGATGGAGATTCTGATGAAGTACGAGGAGCAACTCCCAGAGTGTGTCATTCACTGCTTCACAGGCACAGAGGAGGAACTGCAGGTCTACATTGAAAAGGGCTTCTGGATTGGACTGACAGGTGAGTGGGCGGGGTCTGAAGGGCGGGGATGGCTGCAGGCCAGTTGCCAAGGCGTGGGAACTCTCTGATCAGTCAAATTGGCAAGCTATTCATAAGGGAATAACAGTGTGAGGAGCCGGTCTTCACTGCGTGATAATGACCGGGTGTGGGGGTGACCGCTGTTAATGGACCGAGACGAAGATGCTTGGTTTAGGAAAGGTAAATATGTCGGTGGGTGAAGTGTTCAAAGAAAATAAATCGTAGATCTACGCTTTCGTCGTAAACATCCTCAGTATATACTGCACTGCTGTACGATGTCGTTTCAAAACCTCCTTACGCGCGCCCACGCACGCATCCCTAGCAACTGTGTTGCGTACGCGCGCGTCAGTCTCACGCGATGGGGGTTGAGCGCATGTGCAGTGCTCTATTGTTACAAGCTACCGCAGGACTGTTACTATATTTTGACCAATCATTGGCTTGCATGGGGCTGAACGGGGCTTGATCAATGCTGGTTCAGGGGCCATTTATTCGCTTGATCTTTGAAGCCGGTCCATTATCACCGTTAATGCCCGGCCACGTGATCGAGTCTCGACCAATAGAAACCATCAACTCTCCAAGGTATTTATTCATGAACTTTAAAGACCTATAGACCGTTCTCATGTTGCAGCCATTTGATTTTTTTTCCCATTCAAATTAATGTAACCAAAGCGAGGCTGGAAGGAAAAATAGTCTGGTTCCTTTCTGCACAAAAACACCATCATTCAGTACTGTTATTGGATACAGGGAACATGACCAAAATTGTGGAAGCATGATATAGGTCAATAGTGAGTGAATTTGAGGATGTTCCAGGTATCTGGTAATTTGGGGGATGTTCCAGATATATTCTTTAGCTTGTGTCACAAACAATGGAAGGTTTAAAAAACTTAAAAGTTGGTCTCAAACCATCCATTTTCCAAAATCCAAACCGAATCATGGAATTCAAACCAAATTTCTACTACTCTGGTCTCGAGTCCCAACGCTACACTCTACAGGGTTCGACCTAAATTTTTTTTTTCACTAGACAGCCCGGCTACTGAACAGACTTTTAACTAGCACGCAGGCATTTTCACCAGCCCGCATGTTTTTTTTGTGTCTCATAAACAACAATGTGCATACATGTAAAACGTGTATCCTGAGGCAATCTTGTCAGTGTTTTTAAGAAGTAGATCTAATAATTTAACCCTAAACAGTTAATAAAATAAGAAACAGGTACAGGTTTGCTTTCTGAATTTAATGATTTATTTCTTCGTGTACCTTCATCTTTGCTGTATCCCAATATTTATTTACTCGCCAGCCGGTCTACCCAAGGAATAGTTTGACTAGCCTGCGGGCTGCCGCTGTTTTGACTAGCATTTGGCTAGCGGGCTACCACTGACCACTTAAACCTTACATGTATTGTTCATTTTTCATGGTAGGCTTCATCTGCCAGAGTGACAACAACATCCCGCAACTTCTCAAATCGGGCAGCCTGCCCCTGGACAGAGTCCTGCTAGAGAGCAACTCCCCCTTCATGGAGCCCCGCCTCAACAAGGAGATGGAGGTCTGGGACTCTCTCAAGAACATCCTCGAGTGCCTGCCCCCCTTGGCATCCTGGAGCCCGTTCCCCCGCAACGAGCCCGCCAAGTTGCCCGTAGTGTGTGAGATCGTGGCCCACTATCTCGGGCTGGAAGCCGGGGAGGTTGCCGACAAGACGTCGGAGAATGCGCGCAAGATCTTCGGGATAGAAAAAGAGTAGCGACAAAGGTTCTGTTTAAGTTGCACCTTTTCAGCTTTTCCTTTTTTTTAATTTACACGTGGAATGTTAAGAAATTTGCAGAAAATATGAATATTTGAAATTGAAGGACAGCTGTTGTAAATGTTCATTTTAGTTTTTGTTTTTTTTATATTTTTTATTCCAAGAAGTGCATTGGAAGCTTAAAGCAATGTTCAGTTTTATTTGTTATATCTTTGTTTTCTTTCGGATTTTTATGGTTACTTTCTTTGAGATGATTTCGTTATTCATGTGGCATAGCCATGTCGTATCTCTCTTGATCGTTCAAAATCAAACAAGTAGTTTCAGGGGACATTATTGACACATAATACACACAACAAAAGAGCTGACTAGTGAAGTTGCACTGACGTCTTGCTGCATCTGTTATGTTGCTGGAAGAAGTTTGAGAGGTTGGTTCGGAACGACAGTGAAATGTTTTGAATGCGTGCCGGGCGTGCCTTACACAACCGATACAAATTTATCCTAGATGTTGTTCCTGACAGGTTCGTGGGTGATATAAGTTGGTCCTGTTAACGCCCTCTCGCAGCGGCGGCGATGGGTTATCGCAGTGGCGGGTTATCGCATATCAAACCATAACAACGTCTAGCCCCTACTAAGTGGATGTAGGACTTGTACCAAATACTCTGTGAAATCATTCCGCCTGAAATGGTATCAGTTGGAAGAAACCAATCATTGAAGGTGGTTTAAGAAAGTGAGCCCGCCATTTTTTTTTTTATGTGCATTAAAAACAGAATCCAGTAACAAGACCCCAAAATGGTGCATATATGCTTTCTCTGTTATCTCAAAATGTATAGTATCCACTGAGCTGAAACTTCAATAAATATGTTGTCACGCACCCTTCTTGATAATTTGAGCAACTTTGTTGCTTCAGATAACAAAACAGCACAAAAGCAGAATCTGCCGATATGTGTCTACACAAGTGGTGGTTTTCTGGAGGATTTAGGGAGACTGCAAGCAAAGAGTGAAGAGATTTTTTGTGAAAACTACCTGTCCAATAATAGTGTTTTTCATTCTGCTGTGCGGGTGCGCAAGCAGAGTATTACAGAACTGAGTTCTGATTCTTTCGGTTCTACAAAAATGCATTCAGTTGCGGTATCTACACATAACCCCCTCCAAAAAAAAGGGACACATTCATTAAGTGAATTCAGTTTAATATCTTCATGGTAGAGATACTTCTTTTCCCTTCTTTTTTTTTGATAACCCTACGGAAGCATAGAAAGACCACAAGCAATACAAATTTTCAAAATATGTATCTTGGCACGGCAAATTAATATCTCGCTGCAGCATTTTAGTATCATAGCGCGACAAGCAAGGGAGAGATATTAAATCGCAGTGGCAAGATACTATGTCTCTGCGGCGAGATGGTATGTGGCCGCAGCGTGGCGAGTTACTGTTTCCAAGCTACCCTACTGTTTCCGAGATAGTGTCTCGCTGCGGCAATATAACTCGCCGCAACAAGGTCGAGATATTAACTCGCCGTGGCCTCTATATCCTTCCGTACCTGAAGATATTTCCAATTCGTAAGATTTCTTTGCTGTTTTGTTAACGTGTTTTCTTCGTGCTGTTATAAAATAACAGATTTTAGTTCATGCTCATCCCAAAACTCAAAAAGAGTCATTTTCTACAAAGTTGTTGCAGTTTTGGAAGAAGGAAGGAAATATATATTAAAAAAAAATATACATATAGTAAATGATACTTTTTTTTTCAATACAATGTATAAGCAAATCTCTGAGTGGTTGGTCTATGCATTATTTTTACAGGAAAAAAAAGCAATTTTCAAAGGTGTTCAATGTTGGTTTGCCTGATTAATTGTTCTTGTATGCAGCTGATGTGTTCATACACGAAGAGTTGTTATACAGGGTGGATAAAAAAAAACCCCGAAACCGAGATATTATTGTTAATTGGAACAGAAGTAGGGCACATGTGAATCAAAGAGAGATATCCTCTGTTAGGATTGAATCTCCTCTTTAAAATGACACCCTGGTCATGTCATTACATTCACAGTTGACTGAGCAGTGACCAATATTATGAAAGGGTCTATTTAGAGACTTGCGCCACTTTTCATAGTGAAATCTCTTTTTTCCCCCACCTGCATTGATTGGTCACCATAGCCTTTCACTCTGTGACAATTGACAACACAAAAACCACAATTGAAAAGTGGCGCAAGTCTCTCAATAAACCCTTTCATAAAATTGGTCACTGCTCAGTCAACCGTGAATGTAATGACATGACCAGGGTGTCATTTTAAAGAGGAGATTCAACCCTAACAGAGGACATCTCCCTTTGATTCACATGTACCCTACTTCTGTTTCAGTTAGCAATAATATCTCGGTTTTTTTTTTTTTAATCCACCCTGTATTTTATTAGGTCGTGTTTAAGTTGGTTTATTTGTTTCAGTATATTTACTTTAATAGGTAACAGGTTGGGGATTATTTTTTATAGTGCATGTGTTAGTAAGGAGTCCTGGAGGTGCCATGAGTTGTTGAGATATTGTCATATTTTATCTTGGATGTTTACTATTGACCAATCTGGTATCACTTTAATCATGGAGGCCCCCTTCAATGGCGAAAGCATTGTGCTACATGTAGCTATTGTTCAGGATACCTCTCGTGGAACAGTTGTTTTGTACAATAGCTAGCACAATGCTTTTGTGTTAGCTCAAATCCAGTGATCATTTGCCAAAATTTGTCTGTGCAACAGTAGATGACTTTAACTTAAAGGATGACATATTGAAATGACACTTACCTTCCTGAGGTAGTAGTGTCATTTCAATGGACCGATCCAGTAAGCCCCTCCCACTGTGCACTGCGCAAATTAACACGTGCTCCTCTCCAATGCCACACTGCATTTTCCTGCCGCGCTCATCATACGGGCGTGCACGCATGTCGGACTGTTTGTGCACGCATGTCGGACATGAATCACGGCTGTGATTGGTCAGAATACCATGGGGCGGTGCTTACTGGATCGGTCCATTTTCCTCGTATTTCTTGATTCACAGATCCTGCGCAAATGGTAATTCGCAGATAGCCTCATATGTACTTAGCATACAGGCCGCAAAAACAATGCACATGTAGAAGTGAAGAATGGAATGTCTAGACCATGCACAGTGCAGATTGGATAGAGTGACTGGTACTAATGACACATCAAGACAAGGTTAACCTCTCTTCCTGAAGACGGTCAGAGCATACTGACCGGAACATCGAGTTTATACCTCTGGTTCTTTTTCAGAACCATTCTCTTAGTTTTAGAAATTATTCCCACATGGTGTTTCCGTAAACCCTTCATTCATAAGGTTTTAATATACCAACATGTCATCAGCCCGTTACTCATTCTCAGATGCAGTTGTCGACATCCAATTTTCACGATTTTGTCAAGTTTTTTAAAAAGCATTATCTGAGGGTTATGACACGGAATGCTCACGGAGTATTGCTATCTTTATACAGGTTAAATTGCCCACATTGTGAAAAATAAAAAAAACCAAGTGTAAACATCTCAAATGGCCCCTCTGGAGCTCCTTACTGTACACATTTCTGCCAAATGCTGCATTTTTGCCAATGCAAACGCAACATTATTATTGTTTGTTTGAACACTGTGCATTACTTTAATGTTCTATATCCTTTGTCGGCGGTGTTAGAAGAAATGAAATTCTTACTTTTTTTAATTAAAGTTTTATTTGTTAATGAAGCAGTTCATGTTCTCTGTAAAACTTAAAAACCGTTCCTTTGTGAAGTTTTCGTTTTATGCCGAAAGCCATCCGCTTATTTTGGTGGACTAGTGTGTACATGTATCTTAACAGAGTCAGTCTACAAACATTCAGAAATGTCTAAATGCTTAAATATTTTGAATCGTTCGATGGACTTTCATTGTAATACGCTTTCAAGATTGATGAAGTTCGATCTTTTGGTTTAACATTTTGTTTGGCAAGTAAGCAACTCGGTTATTAGCAGAAGGAATTATTATATTGACTTTAATATGATAAAATAAAAGTATTTTCCCTGGATATTATTTTCGTTTGGAGAAATCACTCCGCTCGTATTGTTTACGCGACTTACATAAATGGGTCTATTTTACCATATCGTAAATTGGTATAAATGTTACGTTTGTTTAGTTGAAATTAAAAACACTAAACATTAATTTTATTCACCCAATAATTTTTGAAAATTGCATTCATTCAGAATTTGAATGGTGTTTATTATATCCGGATTTTTCTTTTTATTCAATTCGACAAGTTGTCACGTTCATTAAATAAAATTTCGTATTTTCAAATAACAATTTTATGTGTTTTTGTGTTCTTTTCTTTTAAAAGTCGCCTATTACAAGGCTCTTGGAAAAGATTACCGGGGGGGGGGGGATGAAGAAAAAGAGAGAAATTTACAAAATAGAAAGAGAACAATATTTAGCTTGCGCTCTAACTGGGACTGGCAACTAGCGGGGAAAAATACATGGAACTACGAAGTCGAGCAGCGTGCGAAAGTTGATGAGTCCGAACATCTACCGGTACGTGTCCATAGCAAGATAATTATAGTCGCCAAATACTGAATTTGTTGTCCATGCCGCAATTCGCCTATCATGGTTACTTGACCAACATTTTGTAATTATTCAATTAACCTTCTGTTAATGGAATCTATGGTTGTATCGGCTTTTTTATGACACATCGGAAATTTCTTGTGAAAGATTGGATATCACACCACTAGACGTACACAGATCGAAATAATGCAAGACCTGTTACCATTGGCGTCAAAGCACAATCAGCCGCCAAGGTTTATGCAAATGTCCTCAAGAAAATTGTAGCATAAAAAGCCGATGAACTTCAGCCACTTTGGGATATCTTTGCAAGAAACAGGCGAGGGAAGTTGGTAAGTTTTCTTCTATTCTACCATTTTTGTGTTGAGAGATTGTGTTGAGAAGAAAAATTCCCACCCATTCTTAACGATATTGTTGCCTTTGCAGGCCTAGATTTTTTTTTCCTGAAGCACGAGCATGTTCTCCCACTCATTTGAAAAAAAGAATTTACTGAAATTGATTCAGGCTATGAAAAGTTACGCCTATTTTACTGAAAGAATTACAGCTGTTCACGAAACGCCGTTTGAAGCTATTGAGCTGAGTGAGAACCAGAGATTACACATATAGTCAGGTGGCTTAGATCTAATTTTCGTCAAGATCGTGACCGACTGGTCCAAAGCACCAAACCTGGCAGATATATTCTTATAGACCTAGAGAAGATATTTAGAAGGGGTGACACCCGAAATTCTTTTGGGAAGGGTGCCTAATTTGCATAAATCGTTAATCCCTGCCGTGTAATATATTTATTCCCATATTTGGGTATATTTTATTTTTTTATTTTTTTGAAAAGTGTATTTTGGGGATTCTACTTACTTACATAACATTTTTCAAAGCATGTAAGTGACTTAATAATTATGAGGACATAGTAACGATCCAAAATGGCTACTATTATGCCCTAAATTGCGCACATTTACCTTGTCCCCAGATATCATCAATTAATCTTGCCAAACATCAGCATTGATGAACTTCAAATTCACCACGTAGCTTACTGGTACAGTTACCCTATTGAAACCTTATGCAAAATCATGCGAACAATGAGAACATTGTGATATTTAGCCCGGAAAACAAAAACTGGGGAAAAAACGAGGTGTCCATAAATTGGGCTAACAAGTAAGGTGAAGGGTTGCCTAACATGAAAGACTGGAACAAGTTCAAGGAAATTCCCCAAATTATTGTTGAGAAAACGTTTTGGCGTAGACAAAATTATTGTAAACAACAATAATCTCTTATTTGGGGGGATTTTGTTGAAATTGTTCAAGCCCCCACGTTACCCTTCCCGTGGTAGCCCAATTTACGGACACCACATTTTCTCCCCTTTTTTGGTCTTTTGGGCCAAACATCAAGATGATATCAATTTTCACATGATTTCCCACTTATTTTTGTTAGGTTAACTATGGCAGTAAGTACCTTTGTGAATTTGAAGCTCATCAATACCCACGTTTGGCGAGACTAGTTGATGATATCTGAGGAACAGGTAAATGCGCGTAACTTTAGGGTAAAATTGTAGCCATTTTGGTAATTTACTATGTCCTCGTAATTATTCAGTCACTTACATGCTTTAGAAAATGTTATTGAAGTAAGAATATGCAAGTAGAATCACCGAAATACACTTTTCAAAAAAATAAAAAAATAAAAATATACCCAAATATGGGAAAAAATATATTACACGGCAGGGATTAAAGATTTATGCAAATTAGGCACCCTTCCCAAAAGAATTTCAGGTGTCACCCCTTCTAAATATCTTCTCTAGGTCTATAAGAATCTATCTGCCAAGTTTGGTGCTTTGGACCAGTCGGTCACGATTCCGACCATATGCCACCTGACTAATAGGCATTTAGCTACAAATGATATATTTATAATGTTATTAAGACTGAAAACATTATTTTTACTGCCAGATTTTGTTTTGCAAAATGAGGAATTGTTTCTAAAATAATGATGATGATTTTTGTCCGTTTTTCTGTGCAAATTTTCTTTCGTTCATGAAGAAAGAAAAACGCCCTTGATTGACTGTACTTAAACGGTTAATGGTCATTGGTGTTCAGCTGAATTTTGATGATTGTATTAAAATACACCTAACTTGTGAAGATAGTAAGCAAATTACGTGACATTTTCAGAGTTACTAGTCAATAATTATGTACTTTATCCCTATGTTAGTTTTATTAAATGGAGCGAGCCACACTTACACTGACATTAAGTAATCGGGAAATGTAGATGATTTCCAACGATCAGTCAATTGACTGATTGTTTTTGTTTTAATGAAGAGGACTATTGGAGCATTGGAAATGGCGCCATCTTTGCGTACGGTGATAGT